AATGGTCTATCTTAAGGAAGCTTAAAGAGTGAGGTGTCTAAAGCTTCAAATATAGGATCATGAAATGAAAAAGCTACTTGACAAGTTCTTTGCTAATAAGTTCTTCCTCATCCTTAAACTTAATACTAGATTTAAAAAAGAATGTGTCTAATAAGCTTGCCTTATCAACACATCTATCTACCTCATACATCTCCAAATAATTAGGTAAGTGATTGATTGTTTTATTTTATATAAAGCTTGCAAGTGAGCAGATTAAGTAATAAAGTGAAGTATTCTAAGTATCATATCCTGAAGGATTATAAAAAATAATATTAGGTAGTTAACAAGTAGTAAAGGTGAAAGGCTGAGATGTTATATCTAAACAGGTGAATACTTAGGGTTTTAGGGTTACAGGGTTTAAGTAGACATGGATCAAGTAAAGATTAAAGGTGATGTATGAAAGGGTTCTAAACTTCACCAACTATCACTTGGGAAGAAAAGATTAATGCCAACAACTAATCCTAAAGCCAAAAATTAAAAGATTGCAAAGTAAATAAAAATAGAGTAGTAACCAAATGCTTGTAAAAAAAATAGAGATTGTATGAAAACAACTTAAAGAACATGAAAAAAATAGTGATGATCGAATCTTGCAAAGTAAAGAAAAGAAGTTGGATCTTGGAAATAAAATGGTTTGCCGAAATTAAAGAAAACAAGAAACAAGATTTTGTGAACAAGAAAACAAGAAAAGAGATCTTTGAATGAAAATACTTGTTGATTGAAAAAGATTTAAAGAACAAAAAGTTGGTAATTGGCAAATCTGTCACTTAAGCCAATATCTTACTAAAAGATATAAAGAAATAAAAAAAGTTAGAAACTAAAAGAAAGAAGAGAATTGAAGAAAAGAAAGATGAAACAAGTGAATGGCCATGCCTATTTATTGGCATAGGTTGGGCCAAAGGTGTAGGCTTTACAAGTGATTGAGTTTAATTCAAAAGCTAGGAGATAAAGCTATATCTTAATCCTCAATGTTGTATACAAAAGTCAAACTCTTCATTCTAAGAAAATTAACCAAATAGCACCTAAAAGCATGATATAAATTGCAAAAACAAAAAAAAATTAAACAAGGTAACTAATAGATCTAAGGAGATAAAGAAGAAAGAAAGCCAAAAAAATGGCTAAAGTGGAGAGAAGTCCTTGCCAAACTGGTTACTCAAAACTGAAATGGCACTGTCACTTGCATCCAGCCAAAATTTCCAAGCTTGATCTGGAATGCTGTAGTGTGACTTTGAAGCTGAATTTAAATTATGTTGTAGCTCTATGACTTAGGAAACTATAGAAAAATTTTGAGTAAAAACAATGAAGATTTGATAGAAATATCATCCAAAAATCGCAGGTATGTCAAAACTAGCAGATTTAAAAACAGTTTTGCATACCAATAAGAAATCAGTAGATTAGATCTAGAAAATGAATTTAAATGAAAATTTTATTGAAAGATTCTGAAAGAGTATTGACAAACACTTACGAAACAGTAAAATTGCAATGAAATTCAAAGGAAAAATGCTGAAAATAAAGTTTTTGGAAGCTAAAAAAATGTCAAGTATAAAAAGAGCAGGAAAGTAAAGGAAAAAAAATTTAAATCATAAACAAACTCTCCTTCTATGGCCAGCCCTCTCCCCATATTTATAGGCAGAGAGGAGGAGCTTAAAGTCTAAAAAATTCCAGAAAAGATCTCCAAGCATCGGGCTTCTAGAGCTTTCTTTTTGCTGGTGCACAGCCGGTGTGCTAATGCTTGGCTGCTTTCAATAGACTTCAACAACTTTGCAAGGTGAATTCCCGTGGAATGGCTGGTCTAATGAGTAAAAGTATGGACCAATCATAGCTCTTGAATTTGCCACATCATCCCCTTGCCTTGGTGCTTCTTGAACTAGCTTGAAATGCCTTGAAATTTTTGGTCCTCTATGCAACCATGCACCAATGTGTTTTGCATCTATCATATTTTTCATTTCTTCATTCTTTTTTTTTTTTTTGTGCCAAAATTTTCAATCATTTTATGAATATATTTATCCTAATTTTACTAAAAAAATAACTATGAAAATAATACTAAAAAATTATGTAAGGAAAATAAAAAAAACTCCCAAATGGTCAATTTTGCATATTGACACTAATTTAGGTCACTTGCACAAATTGCACCAAAAATCCTTCAAAAATGTATTAAAATTGACCAAAATTCTTCATTTTCTATAATTGCACCTATACTTCAGATAAATATGCATTTAAGAGTATTTTTGCCAAAAATGCTAAAGAATAAGTCAAAATATTAGTCAAATTGCACTAAAAATGATCATGAAAAAACTAAAATTTAAGTGCAATTAGATGAAACAATTTTAGGATTATATACAATAATGCGATGTGTGCTAGATGAACAAAGGTTCCTTACACAGAGCTAGGAGACTATCACCATAGGCTTTATTGAAAGGTTGTCTCAATCCCTTAAATATAATTGTGTGTTGGAGATTATTGATAAATTCACTAAGTATGCTCACTTTTTACCTCTTTCACATCCATACACAACTTTAGACATAGCTCAAGTATACCTTGATCAGATTTACAAGTTACATGGTGCTCTTAAAACCATCATTTCCGACAAGGATAAAGTATTTATCAACTCTATCTGACAGGAGTTAATGCAACTGTTAGGTACCAAAATATAGCTGAGTATGCCATACCATCTTAAAATGGATGGCCAGTCTGAAAGATTGAATCGATGCCTGTAACGGTACCTTAGATGCATGTGTTTTCTGCAGCCGAAGTCATGGAGTAGGAGGCTCACTAGCTAAGTTTTGGTATAACACCAGCTAGCATATAGCTTTTAAAATGACTCCTTTTCAAGAAAGGGACAGATGGAGTAAAATGTTGATTGATCAATTAGAAAAAGCACAGCATTGGATGAAGGTTTATGCAAATAAACGTAGGACGAAGTGAGAATTTAAGATAGGAGATGAAGTTTATCTTAAGATACAACCTTACAAGCAAACTACTTTGGCAATAAAGAAGAACCTTAAACTTTCTTCTAGGTATTATGGCCCATATCCTATAGTTTCTAAAGTTAGTCCAGTTGCTTATAAGTTGCAGTTGCCAGTTTCTGCTAAGATTCACCTAGTTTTCCATGTGAGCTTGTTAAAAAAAGAAAAAATTGGTCTTAAGGTGATACCAAGTATATCTCTTCAAAATGTGACAAATGAAGGATAGCCAATGGTTTACCCTATTGTTGTACTAGATAAGTGCATTGTTAAAAAAGGTAATCAAGCTGTAACCTAGCTACTCGTGGAATGGATTAATTTGGGTGGGGACAATGCCACATAGAAGGATTATTCAGTTTTAAGTACACAATTTCCAACTTTGATCCTTGGGGGCAAGGATTCACTGTAAGGGGAAGTAATGTGATGTATATGAATGATGGTGCGAGTCAACCAAAGGGTCAACTAGAAGAGACGCATACAGCAATTAAAGCTGCAGATACGTAGTTAGTTACGGGAGTTGAGCTAGCAAAGCAGCGTTGGGATTGCTAAGTTTGTTATTGAAGCTGACCTGGTAGAACAAGATTTGCGTGATGATAGAATTTATTAGCTGTCGTATAACTAAATCCTATTAGTCCATTGTTATAGTTTTGAAATTGAGTGAAGTTGTTAGATAAATAAGACAAAAGTTTAACAAGAGAATCATCAAGAATGAAAATTGTTCTCTTTTCTCATTCTTTTTTTTTCTTCTTTGGTCTCCACCTCTCATTTTCTGCTACTATAATTTTGCCAAACAACATTTCCTTTTAATCATTCATATTCTATTACAAATTGTTCCTTATCCAAACAAGTACAGATACAGAGCTTTTTTTTTTTACTCAAGTATTTGAAACGAATAATCAGGTTCGGTACAATTGAGTTCGAATACCAGACGGGTAAATTATTACTCAACCGAAAGTCACCTAGTACTCGACGAATATTTAAAAACCTTTACATCCCTAACTATAAAATCATTTTTTTATCATTTATCCTTTTCTTCCTTCTCTCTTATAAATCATCATCCACTTCTCTCTCTATTCACTCTCTTTCTGCCCCAACCGCCTAAACTGCAACTAGCATGCTCATTGTCGATGATTGTTCCCTCTTTCCTTTTTCTCTTTTTTTTTTTTTTCTTCTTCGCTTTTTGTTCCTTTCTTTTTCATTGCATCTCTCTCTTTGGGATCTAGTACTATCACCCCCCTCTTTATATTTCTATGATCGGTGCTGGTAGTCCCACTAACGATGACCCCAACTTTCTATCTCTTTCTTTTTCTTTATTCTTTTTCCCTTCCCAAAAAAATCGTTCACTAAAATCACAATACTAATCTCTTTAAACCTTTGTTTTTTTATTTTTAGCTTTTTTTTTTAATTTTGATTTTTAAAAAAATATTTTAATGGATTTTTAGGATAAAATTTGTTGAATAATTTATGATTTTAGAGCTTCAATTTCAGATTTTTCATTTTGAGATTAAATTTTAGTTCATTCAAAAATTTTCTCCAAAAACTTTAAGTTTAAAAAATATACTCGGATATTTGAGGTAAGTTCAAGTTATTCATTATCCATCAAATACAAAAATAAAAATAAATACAAACAAGTATTATCCAATTGATACAAAAACGAAAACATATACATCTTAGTAAGATACAAAAAGTATCACGTCCGTCAATCCATTACCATCACATGCGTTAGTACGGAGTGGGTAATATTTCATGTTTTTGTTTAAGGGTTTTTTTTTTTTTTAATATTTTAGCCTAATAATTATTATTACCTACCACAAAAAGAAAAACAAAGAGTAATTTATGCAGATAACATGTCACTTATAATTATTATATTATAATAATTAATCAATTAAAATTTATAATTAAATTAAATTTATTAAAATTTTATATAAAATTTATATTTTATAAGAAATAAATTTTATATAATTTTTTATTACGATTATATAATTGTAAAATTGTAATAAAAAATTGTTAGTGGAATACAATATGATGCTTGTCTGGTAAAAGAAAAAGGTTGATGAGATAAGTGGACCGTGGAGGATCATCGGATTTGGAACGAAAGACCTTCGACAATTTTTGCATACACTAGATGAGTCGAATAACTACACAATAACTCTCAGATTCCTTCATCTTTATTCACGTTGACAAAGCATAAAGTTTTAGGATGCTCGTTGCCCATATTAAGAGAATACTGACAAAAAATCAATCCAGTATCAGCCTTTCCAGGCTCCATCATCGATCCATACTAACTGGCGTGATCCATAAGCAAACATCAATACCTCGCAGGATATAGCTTTATGGGGATTCCAAATGCAAAACACAACAAACAAACTAAAAAGTAAAGACAGAAAGAGAGACCGAAAATAAAAATAAAAAAAAAATTTATACAAACTGCTTAAATCACTCAATTACCCGCTTGATTTTGTACAGATTTCTCTCCATAAGCCGCTCATTGTCTCATCGAAGCAACAACGACCTCGAAAATCAAACCTAAAAGCAATATTTTTTCCTTCCTGACTTGACACTCTTACTAACAAAACAAAAACAATACAAGATTTAATGGCCATCGACCCCAATTCATCTTCTGACATGGTTTCTAATCATCACACCACACATAAACAACGCCTAAGTCCTTATTTTTGTTGAAGAAACTCACTTACTTGCAACACATCTTCATTCATTACATGCAAAGGACCTTCAAACATATTTACACCAAGAAAGGATTCGTCAGATTTTTTTTCTTTTCATACAACTTAAAAATTCCCCTCCGTTTTAAAACTGATTTTTTTAAGCTCCTTTTTTTTTTTTTTTATCTATGTACACTTTGTGGATCGAAATGGGTTCTAAGCCAGTGCAGGGATGCTGCAATTTCGCCGATCCCTGTCAAGGCAATCAAACCCCTCGACTCTCACCGCTGGTTTGTTACCAAAATTCGCTCGAATACAGCCTCCTTTCCTTGAAGAGGATGATGGAGACGACGAGGGTAAGCCCGAAGGAGGTGGGATCGGAGACAGCGGTGACAGTGGGGTGATGATCTTCTCATCCCCAAATCGAGCATCCTGTATTAATGGGTTAGCTACTCTGCTCGGCGGCGACCCACAAAAAAATGGGGGCGACGACGCTACTTGTGTACAACTTTGTTCCACTCCACAACCACCCTGTTAAATTCCAAAACCAATAATCATAGTAAATTTTTTTTATTATATTTTGCTACATAATCATAGTAATTTTTTAATAAGAACCAATGCACTAAAACGAGAAGTTCGAAGAACCAAAACTCTATACATCTAGAAACTCTTTAGTTGGCACAGCGACAGCTAACTGTTTTTCTCGTACGCGAAACTAAAGGTTAAATTTTTAAATGGTCCCCCAAATGGCCGATGGAAAATACATTTCTCGCATCGAGAGGTCGCCATTGTTTACAGGACCAAAGCTCAGATTTTTTATAATTTATAGAATATTTTATTGGTAGGAACTTTAAAATTACAACTGGTAAATAAGTTCGAAATTTTTTAAAATAAATAAATTAAGAGAAAGAAGCATACCTTTGTAAGAATCATATCCAAAAAATCACTCCCTGCTTTTGAATCACAATGCTCCGCTTGATGGCTGAAAAACATCAAACAAATTGTTATTTCTCTGTTTTATTTAAAAAAGAAAAGAAAATAAAAGGGGAGGGTAAAAGTTCAAGGGCATAGAAAGAAGGAAAAATCACCTAAGTTGCCATCTGAGGGACCTAACAGGGTGTTCGTTGACGGAAGCGTTTATGATACCCAAACGACGTGGTTTCGGGCAGACCATAACCTCTCTCCGATCCGAAACCATAACCGAAACCGAAAAGGAGCTCCGCATCTCCTCACGGCTGCTTCCAATGGCTCTTTGTTGGATCGCACACTGCTTCATCTTTTTTCTTTCTACGTTTTTTTAAATTAACAATTAATTTCCCTGTTTAACATAAACAGATGCATAATTAATCAACGTCTTAAATGGAAACCAAAATTTAACTGTAGGCTTTTTCTGTTTTTCTTTTTAAGATTAAAAATATAAAATTATTTTAAAACAGTTCTAGATCCACAGATCTACTCAAACAAAAATTTTAAAAAAAAATAGATACAATTGCAATTTGAAGCCAAAAATATAAATAAAACTAGCGCGTATTTCATTTCTTCACAGATCTACTGAACCTTAGAAAAGTTACGTACAAAGAAAAATTAAGCTTCAATTTTCTAAAATTAGATTTCGGTAATGAAATGATGCAGATCGATGAAGAAAATAAAGGAAATCTTGTAAAGACGTTGTTCGAACAGCTGAAATTGGAAAAAGAGAAGGCTGTCGCTTCTAAAAGGTCCCAAAAAAAATCTGAAGCAAAGAGCTGATGGAGAGGAAGAAAGAGAGACTGATACCTTAGCTTTAACTGTACAGCTCCTTTGAGAAACTCTGCGTGTGTGTAACAAATATAAACAGAGCACCATATAAAAAAATTGAAAAACAAAAGAAAAAAGAAAAAAAAAGGACGTTGAGATGTTAGGCGAGAGAACATAGGATAGTAAAGGAGAGGTCCCGTTTGATTTATAGAGGAGAGAGAGGATTCAGGAGAATCACATAATTTGAAAAAATTAAAAAGAAAAAGAAAAGTCGTCCATAAGGCAACAGCACAGCCAAAGGATAGAAACAGAAAATAGAAAAACAAAAGAAAGAAGGAAATGGCAGGAGCCTGCAAACTGCTGCAAGACAACAACTGCTCTACAGTCTTTGTCGTGGCCATTTATTTATTTTTTATTTTGATGATAAAATATTAATTAATTATTTTTTGGAATAACACGAAGGCGGTGCCTCCCGCTAAAAATATCCAAAGAATCAGAAACCGATTTTTATTTTTAATGTCTAATTTAGAATATCAACGAGCCAATTACTAATTTACCACCCAATTACCGACCCAAACCGACTTGCTTTGTATCGTGGGCTTTGTAGATCCAAAGCCGGGTAGCCGTACGATTTTGACACGTGTCCCTTATCGGCGTGAGCATGGTTTTTTCTTTCTCACTTTTCATTTTTATTTCTTTTTCGGGTAAAATGTATGTAGAGGTCGTAAATTGGTATGAATCAATTATGGACAGACGCGAACGAGGAGCCGAGAATTATGGTTGGACCACAGAAGTTGGATTTGACTATTCGTACTTGATTTTTATTTTTAAAAAATAGTTTGAGGTCCATTAAAGTTTTTTTAAGTAATTGTTTTTTTTTTTTAACTTATTTATGTAACCGAGTTTGAAACTTGGATCTGAAAGCTGAAATCTTTAGGATAAAAATCTTTTTTATAAAAAAATTAGTTAAATCATGCGAAGCCAAGTGCTACTTATCCTTTTATATAAGCGTTTGAACATAGAACGATTTTTAAAAATTTATAATGATTTATTTAAAATTTAGATTATTATATATGATAAATATTAAATGATTTTACCTAATAATAATTTTAAATTATTGAAAATGATCAAATTATTATTTTAAAAAATAATTTAATTCTTAACAAAAGAGTAAAATATTTTATCATTAAAGTAAAGTGATATATAAAATTAATAATAATTAATATTATTCATTTAATATGTGAATTAAAATTTTACTTTTGTTCTCTCAAAAAAATTTACTTTCTTTCAAAATTTAATTATTTTATATTATACTTTTATATGTTTTCAAACTAATATTTATTGTAATAAGTTTAAAAATAATTTGTGTGTTTTATTTTAAATGTTTTAATGTTTTATATATAAAATATATTTTTTTTTGTTTTTCTTTTGTTATGATTTTAATATTTTAGTTTTATTTTCTATTTTAAATATTTTTTACATAATTTATATTATAAAAATTAGTTTATCAATCAATAAATATATTTGTGAATTTAGTAATTTAATTATATTTTATTATAAAATAAATAAAAATAATACTAATATTTTATAAATTATTATCTTTAAATAATATTGAAATCATTAATTTGTGTAACTATTATAATATGTATGATTATTTTAATATTTTTATACAAAATTATATTTGATTTTTAATAATATAAAACATAAAAATCTTTAATTACTAAGAATTAATGATTGTTAAATAAGCAAAGTAATCCATATCACAAGTAATAAGATCACCCAATGATCAATGTTAAAATTTTTCGTAAGTAAGTTGCTATTAATTGGTGATTTTGATAATTTAATAAAATTGTCTTTACATTTATTTCTAGGTCAATATGTGTAGTGATTGTGTATTGGCCTATTAAGCTTTTTATTGGAAGGCTTTTAGGTTTTTAATAAAATAGGCTAAAGTTCTTCAGAAAGGCCTAACTACTCAAAGGATTGTTTTACTTTTGCGTATTAATCATGGCTAATCAAATAGGTATGTCGAATCTCTTTATTTATTTATGGTGTTGGGTTAATGTTTACATGTGGTATCAGAGCTATAGTTGTGTGATATTAATCATGAATTACAGCTTGAGCAACTCTTTCTTTCTTTTTTAACACAACCCCTTTCTTTGCATCACCACCTTCAAGCTTTTCATTCTTGATGGCATTTTCAATGATCTATCCAGAAATTACGATATCATTGAAATTTTTAGTGGCATTTTCAATCATCATTTTATAGTAAGGAGCATTAAAAGTATTGACAAATAGGATTGTTTCTCATTTTCAATAAGCGATGGTTGAACTTGGGTAACAATATCTCTCCATCTTTGTGTATATTCTTTAAAACTTTTAGTATTTTTTTTTCATGCTTTGTAAAGATATACGATTTGGTGCCAGATCTATAATGTGCTTGTATTGTATAATGAAAGCCCTTGCAAGTTCTCTCTTTCCATGAATATTAGGTTTATCCAGTTGCACATACCACCAAGCAGCTAACCCAATAAGACTGTCTTGAAAAACATATATGAGCAACTTTTCATTATGAGCGTATGCAGCCATCTTGTAACAATACATCGTAATATATGTAATAGGGCATTTGGTCCCATCATACTTTTTGAACTCAAGTACTTTAAACTTTGGTGGAATCATAACATCAAGAACTAAGCGTAATCTAGTAGCATCTATTGACCCATAAAAATCTATTCCTTCAATGGCTCTAAACTTCTTTTCTATGAGATCTATCTTTTGATAACCAAAACTTTCTTTATTTTCAACAAGGCCTATTTTCATCTTTTCTTATTCTTTGATATCATTAAGATTTGAAACTTGTGTACGATCAAATGTCTTGATGTCAAGAACAACAGAAATGGAAGCATGAGCAACAATTATCAGCATATCAATCTGCACATAAAAATAACTTACAGTGAATGGCATTTAGTGCTGGGCCCATTAAAATGCATATGATGAATATGGGTCAAAATCATAAGGGTATAGTCGATTAGTCTCATTTTGTATCACTATTTCTTCCACCACTTTATTTCTCTTGCTCATATTTTTAACAATTTAATTATAATTTTTAACTGCCCCCTCAGTTCTTCTTATGCTTTCTCTAGCTTTTAAAAGCGAAGAGTGCTTTCTTCTTCCATGATCTTTGCTTGATATCTAGTGTTGTAATGCCTCAAATTGTTTGAAGATTGAGCTATCATTGAATTTTGATTTTTCATAATTTTTAAGAATTAGGATGACTTATTATAATGCACTTTAGAGAGATATTTATGTATGAATGCATGACTGCAATAAAGAGGATCTACCACATAATAATTATTAACAAAAAAAATCTTTGTTGAATTAAAAGTTATTTCTAATCAAATCTAATATTACATCCATGAAAAACCTAAAAGTTTATTATAAAAAATAATCCTTAATTTGTCATATTGGCCTTGCATTTCATTAAGAAAATCTCGTAGTTCTTAGCAATGTATTCCCATTGGTGGCACTTTTGTCTTCCATTCTTCAATTTTTTTTAACATGTCCTTAGCATTGTATGTAGCTATAGTAATTTGATCAAGCAAGAACGTTAACTAGTTATGCTTTTTCATATATGCCTTCTTTGCATGCTCACATTCCTTATTCATAGCAACCATTTGTGTTCCAATTTCAACCACTAGCCCATTGAGCATTTGGATGTGTTTTTGTGCTTTAGTGAGTGCTTCATCTTTTTCTTGCATCTTTGCTTGTAATTGTCCATTTTTCTTCAAAAGGTGAACTAACTCAAGATTGGTGGATGACTATGTCATGTTAAGATTAGAAAAAAAAACTTTTCCATTCATCCATTTCTTGTTTGAGTGTTAGAACCTTTTTATCCATCTTCCCTCTAACTCTATTTTTAGCCTTTTATTTTTAAGCTCTAATTCATCTTTTTCAACTTAGAGCTTTCTTTTAGCTATTTCCACTGCCAATAAAGGATTAAAAGGTGGTGATTTCATTAGGCCATTTGGAGTTGTTTTTTTAAGGATTTTGATATTTTTACCTCGCTTAATGTGCCATACGAAGTACTCAGGAGTAACCTCATTTGAGCATCTCTTTCTATCTTCCCCTTCAAGCAAATTCCAAGCTTGCAGGGTTTTGGTTTTATTTATAGAGGCATCAATTTCAACATATGCAAACTCTATTTTACTAGGCCCAAAAATGGCTGGATAAACTGTTCATAGCCATATTATCTTTGCACTATGATAAGAGAATAACTCGCTGCACCCTAAAAGCCAAAAAGAGGAACCCAAAGCTTATCTTTACAACTATACAACACTCGTCCATAAGGCATCCAAAGAGCTCTCCATATCACATCTTAGTTAGTGAGCTTGCATGATCTATGCTTCTTTGGATTTTTATGTAGACTATTCATTCTTACAGAAATTTTTGATGGGAGTGCTTGTAGTGAAATATGGCTTGCAAAATTTACCACCATTATTTTTATATGACTTTTCATCCAAATGGTTAATAATTAAGCACATTCAATAAAATGACACATTCCATTTTGGCAATAATAATATAAAGATCTAACAATCTTACCGAAAATTACAGGAATACGGTTGATTTCATAACCAAGTTGATCAAAGAAATCCACCACTACAACATCAATATAGCTAATTACTTTTGGAAATATCATCATCCCATATAGAGTTAATGCCATCAAAGCCATTCTTTTTTCAATGCCAAAATATTTGTATATAAAGTCACAAATAATGGACCAAGGAACACCAACACTTTCACCATTTCCTTTTGTGTAATTATCAACAATTTGGATATCTATGGCAATCATTTGAGCAAGCTTTTTTTTTTTAACCAATTATAAACACCCATCTATGTCTGAGGTCAATTAGTTCCGTGTCCAAGATCATTCAGACCGTGTCCGAATTAATTGGTTTGTGTTTTATGTTATGTTATAGTATTATACCATAGTATCATTATCATTATTAGTATATTATATGGTATTATATCATATTATTATTATTATTGTTATTGTTGTTATTATTATTATTTTTTATTTTTTTCTTCTTTTTTTCCTAACTACCGATTGAATGAAGAAATGAAAATATGGATTCATTTCATAATGTCAAAGGATCTTAATTCAGTATCCAAATCAAAGGCTTTCGATTTGATCCAAACAAATCAACAAAAATCTAGCTAGGAATCATGCCCTAGACAGAACCAACCCAGGCATGAATCCTAGGATTGGATTCTGTTTATTTCCTAAAATTCGTCCTAAGGGGACTTATAAATTGGAATAATCATTATAGAATAGGACACGATGAATTTGGTGAAAGATAAGCTTAGTGCTTGAAAAATCTGAAATAAG